TATTCTTACGAAGGAAATAGGTGATCCGTCTGCCCTTCTCTCGACAGCGATTTGTAACTCCGTTTTTTAAAGTTACATTTTTTCACAAGAACTTATTATTTGTTGTTTTAGAAAGAATTTTAAAGTAGCAATATTGTTATTAATTTATGAAAAACAACCACGTCCTGTTTTTGCATACTATATTGAATCTTACAAACTTCCACATTTCTCAAATACTTTGAAATACTTTGAAATCTCAAAATCTTAAATTTGTAGACTACCAAAATAACTCTTGTATACAGAAGTGTCTTTAATGGGAGATGAACAAGAGATATTCAAGAATATTGTCAATATTGTCAGCTTAAACTTTTAATATGAATATTTATAAGAATTCGTACGACCGAAATCTGGCTTGCGTGGACCTATTGTCGCTTTAAGATATCTTACATGAGAATTATTTAAATTGTATGACAAGGATCTGTGATAACACCGCTAATTCGAAGAGAAAATTCCAATATGTCTTATAACGATTTTGTTTTCCGAGAACCCAGAAAATTCCAGGTCAGTTAGATAGTAGATGATCGAATCCATATCCCTAGCTCTGGAGTTTAAATGGGTGCGCTTTAGATCATAAGATTTGTCATTCAGTGAACTGAATTGTTGTTTTTGTCCCAGGCATGTACGTGACAAGGAGATTAAGGTCTCCTCCTTAACCCCCTGGGTTTCTTAGGGTTCGTTCACCAATCCCACTCCCCCTCTCTCGCGCGATTACCGCAAACAGGATATTTCTAAGCGCGGTTTTCATCTATCAGTCACATCTAGTCGCCCGGATATTGTCGGTGCACATAAAAAATCCATTGACAGTGGCATATTTTTTTTTTAATTAATTACATTATTACAATTAGATTATCTTCTAACCAGTGTGTAGTACTGTCGGACTTCTTTTATTGTTGTGTTTGTTTCTTCGTGATCGTAATAAGACTACAGCAACAATGGTTTTACAACTTTATTGCTAAGCTGTAATGGCTTTGAAGGTTCCTCGTTCTCAATAATAATGGCTGCTAGGGATTTCTGAATGAGCCCTGCTCCAACTCGCTCTACACCCTAATTTATACCCCCTAATTTCTGCAGGTCTTCGATAACCTTGACGTTAATTTCCATCCCATATATGGAATAAACCTCTTTATTTCACACGACTAAATGAGGAGGCATTTCCTTGTTTGATCTACCAACCATAGGTCAATTAACAGCCATAATTTGATGGATATCTTGACAATGGTTATGATTTTACCAAAATATCACTGTTTTTTTTATGTATAACTATATATTCACTAAGCCCGTGTGATTTGACTCTATAGACAGAGTGAAGCAACAATTTTGCAAAGAACCAAAATTGTCTCCAGTGACACACACACACGTAAGAAAATGTACCGACGAGGAATAATTTGCCGTTTTTCTTGAGACTACATATTTCAAAGATTAATTTAATTAGCCAGTAGACGAGCTAAGATGTCAGTACGTAGGACATGCTATCTAGTTCATTTCATTGTGATTTCTGTCCTCGTTAAATTTGTCTGATGAGTATCAAATGAGCTTCTATTGAACGACAGAGCACGTAACAGAATTAAGCCAGTATTAATGTCTATCTTCATATAGTCATTTTATGATGATAAACATTTTGTTGGTGTGATTTAACCATAAACCATTCGTGTGCCCTACAAAGGGATACATCGGTGATGAAAGCAGAACTGGATAACTATTATGTAGGTGGAGCTTTATGTGGCAGAAAGTGGCTTGTAGATTGCAATGAAATGGCGCTCAACGCCTTACTGTATGACGTCGGTCAATGAATAGAACGGAAGATGAGTGCAGGACAACACAGATGTTTATTTTATAGATATTTCTACGCCTGCATTTAATGTGGGTGTATATTGTCGTCAAAAATACCGATTGATCTTTTTTGTATAATTATTTATTTCAAAAACATCTTGGGCGCAGCTATGTATCAACTTAAAGCGACAATACCTTAAATCTAAGGGTGGGGGGGGGGGGTACCTTAGAACTATTGTTGAGAAGAAGGAAATATAGGAATATAGGATTTTGTTTTAAATCAACCTTCGGGGATTATAACATAAAGTTATTGCTGGCAAAGTTTACAAATGGTATGGGAGAGTCACGTTTATTAGGTTACTCAATAAAAAAAAACCTATGAGGTGAACGCTCTGAAAGAGTTACATAACTCCTAAAGGCCCGGTCCCAGTGGCCGATGGACACAAAACGTATGCAAAAAGGACACAGCGGACGAGCAAACTTTCGGGGGTGGCCCCATCCGTTTTCATCCGCTCCAGAAATGGACAAAATTGACGAAAATTTGCGAAAAGAAAACGGAATAGAACAAACGTGGGAAGTATGTAGCGGGGATGTTAAATGGATGTTCATCGGAAGCCTAGCGGATGAAAGCGGATGGAAGTGGATGACAGCTCCGAAGGGGTTATCGGGGATAATTTCGAAGCGGACGCATAGCGGAAAGAGCGGAAGCATAGCGGGTGAAGCGGATGCATCACGTACTATATGAGATGCATACGCTTACATCCTTTCTATTTCCGTGCTACTAACGATGTATAGACATTCCATGTACCTTATCTTTCCCTCCTCTTTCCGTTTTCAGCTGGAGCGGATGTGATTTGCGAGGATGCCCAGAGGATGCAGAGAGGATACAGTGGACGTTTAATGGATGATAACGGACATGGAACGTTTGGTGCTCGTATATGTCGCGCATTTACATCGTACACGGCAGAAAGTTCATCCGTTATAAAAGATTTTGTGCAGCTCAAAACTTTTTGCGCGGATGAAATCAAAGTGAACGGATGCTCGATGGATAGAGCGTATGAAACACGTATGCAATGAGTAAACAACGTATGCATGGCGTTTTCAAACGGAGGGCACGTTTTTTCCCCGTTTTACATCATCTTTGCATCCGTAAGTGCAGTGGGGCCGGGCCTTAATAACTATTTTGACACTTGATTTCGTGTTTAGTTGCTGCTTAGCAAAATTTATAAATCGAATAGTCGCTTTATAACAAATATGAAATGAGCGCTCTAAAAGAGTTACGCAAATGCTTAACTATTATGGCCCTTGATTAAACATAAATGACTTGTATTTTAGACGACAAGTGAACGTGAAAAGCGGGACTTAATTTCATTAAGAGAAGTAATCTCTGATTAAATACCAGCTGATTACTTTTGTGGATTTCAGTTGAGATCAGTAGTCTAGAACTAATGGAAATTAAAAGATATAAAAGATTACTACTCGGTATCAGACAACATTCAGTGACTTCATATTCAACCCTCCAGGATCGATACAAGGATGAGATATGGTGACAAGAAAGAATTTGCATGTTCAGCAGTTAGTTCTTTGTATTCCCGCTCAAGTGCCAGATTACTTACACATACTGTCCATGTAAAAAGATTGACAGGCGATGAATAATAAAAATAGGAAACGGTTGACTTAGATTGTTAACCAATAGATGGAGATAGTTTTGAAATGATTTTTTCATTAGTCATTTCCAATGATGTAAATTATGTGCTTTCTGCCGAATCCTGGCAAAATTTTAAAACTACTTCTCGGTGTTCCCAGTTTACATGTTGCCCCTCTTTATTCATCCATTCTATTCTTTATGTTAAACCTTACCCCCTTACCCCCCCCCCCCTCCTGTTGTTATTGTAGATGAAAGAATCGCTATGGAGGAGGCGATGCGGGCGAGACGGAAAGAAAGCACCCGGGTAGCCATCCAAACTATGTAATATTTTTGTACATCATAATGAAAATTTGTTTGGTAAACTTTTAAATAATTTATTGCCGACATCAAACAGATTCAAGTTAATCGTAACGCTAGCACACCGAATTATTCGGGAAATCGAAAGTTGAACAGGAATTATGTAAGAGATAAATCTGCCCATTGCAGGTCTTTCATTGGGCCTTAAATGTTATATAAATTATTAATTAGACATTTATTATTAACATGACTAGACCACAAACAACCCTCAGGGCCACGGGATGGTTCTGATTTTAAATAGATTAGAACGGTCCGGCCATGTACTGATTTATTGAGAAGCGAGGCTAACACACGAATGACTACGGTGGTTACGATCAATGCACGCATCTTGTCAAAACTACAACCATTGATAACGTCTCTCAAAATATTATTTGAAATATTATGGCGAGAACAACCACCTCTTTATCTAAATCTTACATAATGCCCTTTTAATAGATCAGTTATATCGACCCACTATATAATTCAAAATAATAACCAGTTACTGTTTGGACCGCACAAAACCCTAGGGTTCGGCCAATTCATGTACATCGGACAGGAAACTTGACATGCTTGTTCCTTGGACAATTGCGCACCGATTTATGATATGAAACCACAATTCCAAGATGGCTGCGATGACGTCCTAGTCAGTTCATGGTCCATTGTTCGAAAGATTAGCTAGAAAACTAACATTTGATACCAATTTTCGACATAATATTTATTTAGATTTTGCTGATGTCGGCCAAGATAACCATAGGCTTCAAATATGTCTTCAAGAAAGTCTGATTTTCTAAACCAGTCGCGTGACCGCCTCTTCATACTAAACTGATCTTGGTTGATTGTATCGATTCTTGATGACCGAAATGTAGATTTTCCCCATGGCATTAAAACCAAATGTTCTTTTTATAGGATAAATAGATCTAAATGACCCTACTGTTATCATGCGATAATAAAAGTACATACTATAGAGGGGTAGATTACAGGCAGTCCCTTAAAATTGGCTAAATGCATGTGTCAGCCTTTTCAGATTAATATCCCTGGGTATAATCTTTGGTTCATTGTTTCAAATAAATTAATTACCCCATGTGACCGCTACTGACTAATCAGATATGTTCGATGAGTTAATATGCCTTTAAATACGAATGTAAGACTCAACGTCTTCACAATACAGTATTGGAACTTAAACTCTTTCTCTTTTGTTTTGATTCAGGAACACAAAATAAGAATTACCCACGGCTTATAACACGAACACGCCCTTTTAAAATTGGTGGAGCATTGCCTTTAACGAGACCGTATAATCAAGAAACAGGAGCGACACCAGACAACTATAAAAACCAAATTTTAACACGTAGTGCTACCGCCTCTACGGCATCAACAACCAGTACGGGGGTACACAGTGCATCACAATCGTCTATATCAACACGAAGTAACAGTCAAAACAGGACAATGAATCCAGTTCACTTTACCATTCCCACTTTTCATGGATTAAAGTCAGAAAACGCTACACTATGGCTCAAAAATGTGGAATTGTATTGCTCTATGCCATCATTAGATGATGGTCGCCAATAACCATCAATTATTAATCAAGGACCAAAGAGATTCGTGTTGGCTTTCTGCTGATAACATTTATTCAGATATGACCAAGAATTCCCACATCAAAAAGTCAATGGATGGTAAAGCCAAAAAACGAAAATTCAGAACTTGTTACTTTACAAAATCAAAATAAATCTCGTAAAATTTCATCTTTCTTGCTAATGAAAGTGATACCGATTTGTTATATAAAAAAAGGATATCCGTAATGCAGGACGGAGAACCTGACAAGGACAGCTGTCTAGTCGTTCGGATGGGACGAAAAACCGAGGTCCCGTGTACACAGTTGCGTGCACGTAAACGATCCCTTGACAGTTGGAATTCGATATAAGAGTAGGCCGTAGTGCCGCTGTACGGGCAAAATTTCATTTCACTACTACAATTTAACATTTATGAGCACCAATTCCCATCACTGATAGCTGGTGATAACGCAAATCATCTGAGTCTTAAACCCATGGTAAAACGCGCAAAACATGATTCTATTATATTTAAATCACTTTCGGAATCTATGATTAAGAATGATGTTCCAATCGTGTCATCATTCTTGATAATAAAAGTATTCTTGTTATCGTGTCAATGACATTATCTGTACTTTGTTCTTTGGTATGTATCTTCATAATTTGTAAAATGCGCACAATTACAACAGCGCTTGTATTAGCCAAGAAAGTCCAAGCCTCATCTGAGCTGCCGTCATTCGATTACAAATTCCATGCGTCAGATACTGAAGACCTGGCTAACTCTTCGGATACACCATTGGATCATTTGGCATAGTAACGATCCTTTTGTTTTGCATCATTGTGATGGTGCTTTTATAACATCGGGCTCATTGTGGTACCACCCCAATTATTCACCTCCCATTCTTCCCAGCCTACTACACATTTAATCAATCTTCATACATTTCAAATCTAAGGGTCTCCTACTCCCTTTGGCCATATCTAACCCTGGACTATCCTAACCTCCAGTATATTAACAAAATCACCAATACATCACACCCTGTAACTTATCGTCTACGGATCTCCTTATCCCAGTAAGCTTTCAGAGCTAATTCAAACGAGCAAATGATTAGCTAAATTTAGATTTACGTCGAAATGACAATTCGGCAGCTACGCCGCCTATCAGGAACACTTGTCGCCTCTTACAATTACACACGTAACGTCATTTACAAATAGTGCCTCTGCACAGCCAAGTGAGTTAGCTCTTCCCACCCCCATTCTTTTATAACTCATAGTTCATTTGTAAATCTATTGACTTAAAATTGTACATTGTATTGATTTTGTATTTTATTATGATTTGACATAATACAGTATTGGAACTTAAACTCTCTCTTCTGTTTTAATTCAGGAACACAAAATAAATGAAATGAAATGAAATGAAATGGGGTTTAACGTCCTACTGTTTTGCTTCGAACTGGGATAATGAAGACGGGCATACGCCATACAGTGTGCTATGAGGGAAATTTTGCCCGGGCAGCGGCACTATCGCCTACTCTTATATCGAATTCCAACTGCCAAGGGATCTTTTACGTGCATTCTAATGTATACACGGGACCTCGGTTTTTCGTCTCATCCGAAGGACTAGACAGCTGTCCTTTTCAGGCCCTCCGTCCTGCATCACTGACAAGGGGGACCTACGCCGGAAAGAACACAAAATAAGAAATGACTACAATGTATGACACGAATACGCCCCTTTAAAATATTATTACAACACAACTGGGTGGGAATTTTCCTTTTTGTAGATAGGATATCATTACAAAGCCCAACCATCGTATAAAGATCACAATAACTAAATACTATAAATAAGACGCGTTGACAACAACAACTAAAGAATATAAAACTAATTAAAAAGCTTCGCACTGTTATGTCCATGTACTCAGTGACCAATTAAATTCAAACTTCATGCATGGTTGTGTTGTGAACTTTACTGCAGTATTGGAATCTTTTCTCTCGGCAACTATTCATTCGAAATTGAGCATAATTGGATTATATGGAGTTAAACATAGACGATTTACTTATCCCTTTAAACGATGGACTGAATAAGTTGTGATATTATTATCACACTTCATCTTTTGGGAAAACCGATCCAATAGTTTGTTTAAGAAGTATACTACATGATTATTAAACCAATCACAACATGAGATGGTGTTGGGGAAGCATTCTGGAAATATTATCACATCTTTAACTTTTTGAAGGTCCCATAGAGCTTTTTGTCTCCATGTCACATATAAACCGACTAATTTAACAACTGTCAGAAATACATCAAGGGAATTTCGCAAGAATATCGTCTTTCTGTAGCCCGAGTTTATCAGCAAATTATTTTACCCGTTGGAAAATCAGAAAATCATGAATGTATAGTGTGAGCAGGTTTAGTCAGGTTCAAGTGGATTGCCTCAAAGTCAACGAGATTTGACATTTCTTTGAAAACATATCAAAGAGTATCAGATATTTCCTCGCAGTTAGAATAAAATGTTCTAATAGCATGCTACAGAGATTAGCCATTCCAAATCTTTAATCTGAACACACACAGAGCATGTATACTTGACGGATCAAACACTGGTTAGCAGAGATGATCTCTTGTCGGGACCATCGGTTAATGGTCATTTCAGATGATAACGGGGTCATCCACATGTCTTGATAAACCCACCATAAGATACACATAACGATATCGCCATAACCGAAATCGAATTAATTTTATTCGTTTTCAAAGCTAAATAATATTTAGTATTTCGTGTAGACGTTCGCATGGTACGAAAAACCAAGGTGATCACGTGCACGTAGAAAAGCCTTGATAGTTGGAATTCGACAAAATATTATTTGGCGTTGATGGAATAGTATTACGTGTAGTCGTTCGCATGGGACGAAAGAACAGAGGTGTTCACGTGCACGTAGAAAAGCCTTGATAACTGGAATTCGATGAAGATTGTCCGACTTATTTCCATCGTAATTAGACCTGTTGGTGCAGAAAGGTCGACATTAAACGCAATTTCAATTTATTTCCTGTGCATTATCTATATTATCTTCATGTAACATCACACTTACCTTTATGATGTGAAGAGAAATCCAGTGGTATTGTAGAAACCTTCCTGTAAAACACATGTAGCAATTGCAGCTGTAACCAAACTAACTAAATCAGTGATTCCAATACTTCTAGCGGTTTATGCAATATCTCCGGCTTTAATTAACTACATCGATCAACACGCTAAAAATACTTTTAGTTTGTCGTCATTCCCGACCCCTTCACACAACAGAATGATGTGTATTCTAAAAAGATTTAGACACAATTTCTAAGAGTAATATGGTACGTGACTGTGATCACTGAAATAACCATTAAGCAAAACAAGTCCGTGCTCAGAGAACGGGGCACCAAGGTAAGGAGGGATCACCGTCACTGGATTACCGTTTAGCAAAACATCGACGCCGCAATAATGACAAAGTAAATCACTTCGAAAATGAGTTATTTTGAATCCATAGTGTTTCTTCTATTTTGTGAACTTGTTTTTATCCGACTCTATAGTGTTTTCTTCTATTTTGTGAACTTGTATGTGTTGCCAGAAAAGTCCATTAAATCTGAAAAGAAATTCACTAATTTATTTCTTTCTTATTTTTCTTTCTTTTTTTTTTTGTTTTTTTTTTTTTTTTTTTGTTTTTACTCTTGCCCCTGATTCAGAAAATGGCCCATCTGCTCTGTTGTTGTTTTGCGCAAAAGGATTTCGTCGGCACGATGAAGATTACGATTACGAATACCTATCGTTGCGCAACTTCTCCACATAAGTGGTATCAACAAATAATATCAATTTGTTGCCTCATTGTTTCGGGTTATTATTAGTAAAACTTGATCAAATTACTTCAATGCTCCATAAACATGTTAAATAATTTGTTTTACATCCGGGTAAAGTGGTTTTTATTATATTGGATTTTAAGATTAAAATTTTATCATTATTACCACCACTTAAAATGTTAGTATTGTCGAATGTTGGTTATTGCCGTAATCAGCCTAAATCATCTGCATAATATTCTTTAATGTGTGGTAATTAATTTGGGTCACCTTCAAGATAATAAGTGACAATCTCTGATTGATCATAACTTACTACGTTGATGTTATCGTATGTAAATGTCCCATCCATTTTTTATAATGTATCAGGCGTTAAATTTGTTATAAACAACATTTTCTTTTTTATAATTGTATCATTGTTGCTTTATAGAAAAAATAGAGAATCACTGTCGAAACTTTGCTTAGTAATGACGTAATGAATAGTATATAATTGTTCTCCATATTATGTTTCACTGTTTGGTATGTGCACTGCGCGGTTATTAATTGAGTCCGATATAAATCCCAGCCAAACTCTTAGATTACGAAACGCTGCCACGCGAATCTAGTTCTAGCGACCAAAGATTCGTCAGGTGTAACTATTTTGGGTCGAAAAGATGCCAAAACGAACAGGTGTGGATGTTTCAGTCTGTGCCATAGCAGTCTATGTTGTCAAAATAAATAGAATAGATTTGCAAATTAAGTAATTCTTTGTATTTGAATACTAGAACATCGTCAGATCCAGGGGCGGATCTAGGAATTTTGAAAAGGGGAGAGGGCACGCCGCTGAGGGTTTTTTTTGGGGGGGGGCCAAGAAAATTATCCGTCATTTCCTTGCATCTGTAGCCATTCCAAGAGCTATTTGGCTGATATTTTCGTCTAAGTAAACGTTCGGAAATCGTTGAAAAAGAGCCTTAAAATCGAGCAAAAAAGCCAGTTGAACATGCGACTCGAAAATTGTCCAGGCCAGCGAGGCGTTATGATGGGAAAAAGATGAATCTATTCCCTAGCCACTTCACTATTTAAGCCTTGTAACTTGTACTTTGTACTGTCCACACATGAAACAATGCTACATCAAGTTGCGCTCATGCGCGTCGGTGATGGGCATGAGTGTATACGCCGCCGATTCCACAAGATGTCTGTCTATAGTCACTCTATAGGATTAGGGCACCGTCAGCTAAACAACAAGAATTCGTTTGAAATTGGAAGCATTAATTAGACCAGATTGATGTGTTTGAATCGATGGTTTGAGTCATTTGGGATCCCTGCAACGGGTTGGGAACGGACATATTTGGGTCTGAGAAAAGACACTTTCAGCAGTAAAAAATGGCACTGTCGAAAATTAGGGGGGCGCGCGCCCATCGCCCCCCCCCCCCTTGAATCTGCCTCTGAGATCTAAATATTAATAGAATTTCATGAAATTGCTTGAAATATGGGTGCGAAAACTGCTACATGGGTTACGCCAAATCCCTTCTTACAAAGATTCCCTTATATATACATTGGAAAGTGAGCAGTAGATGGAAAACAAACAAATCCCTGGGAAAATTGTTCACAGTTAAGAATCAACTAAGAACCAAGAATAAGACAAACCTCACAGCAAAATTTCATTTCCGGTTCATTGACTTATGTTTTGTATTTATCTCTTAAGGTGATCATCTACTGGGGAGTTTTTTGACGACAATCGCTCTTGACATTAAGTATCAATGTATATATGGCCAAGATTTAATATCGTAAAATTGACAAACGGTGCCGAAATGATTTCCTAAAATATCATCGGAAGAAGACCCCCGATGATCAATGACTTGGTCGTTCAGATACGGGAACAACTCGGGATCCACAGTCATGTACATTACAAAAGCCTGGGCATGTGCAATTTGGTGAATGGTGTGTGTGGATGCCTCTATTCCGGTAATGTTCTATGTCATAGCAGTGCATACGTAGTTATAATCTATTTATAATTTAACCTAAACTGTTGTTTATATTCATAGAATTGTGACCTGTGTATACCTTATCTGACAGTAGTCATTTAACTTGACAGTCTTGCATATCATATTAATAGTAACCTGTCACTGGGTAATTGAATTTCAGATCCGACTGACTAAAAAATTAATTTACCTTTGGTTGAATTTTTTATCATTTTAATAGTTTTATTTTTTTAATACTTCTCTATGTTTATTTAATCGGCATTATGTGACCTACTGCAAATAAAATTACGTATTGAAAACCATCTTGTCGCTCTGGCTGGTTTTCTGTTTTACCTATGGTACTATTGTACTTAAAGACTAGATGTCAGCTTGGCTGTCAACAAGGCAAAACATCATTGTTCATTGTCAGTCTTTGAAATCAGCTCGCACGTGAGTTAAGATGAAAACATGTGATAAGTTATTGTTCTGGCTAATGATAAACCACACATTGGAGATCTATTGACTTAAAATTGTACATTGTATTGATTTTGTATTTTATTATGATTTGACATAATACAGTATTGGAACTTAAACTCTC